TGAGATTCACAGCCGTGCATTTCCTGGTGTGGGGCCCCGCCAGGAAGCAGCAGTAGCCGAGCAGGAAAGCCTCGTTCATGCTAATTTAGGAGGTGCAGTAACTCTGTAGAAAGTCACTTTCTAATTCACAAGAGTTGGAGACAATGCCTTCTGCAGAGGGTTTGTATGACAGATGCTACCGTGGACTTCCCTTTGCAGACCAGATGCACTTCCAGAAACACGGGCGAGGGTCGGATTTTTAAAGGAGACTCTTCAAAATGCAATCAGAGAAACTCACCAGCCTATATTTGAATGAATTATCATTTTCATTTATTGACTTTTCTTAAGGCACAGCCTTTCATATTTGGGAGTAAATGGAATTCGATGGAGAAATCACTGCTTTTCCAAACTAACAATTTAGAAAATGATTCTGCCAACAGGCTGGGTCTGGCTTCTGGGTCTACCAAGGAGTTCTCGTCATGTCCCCACTGCCCTAATAGAGGGAGTGGTTGTTCTCATGAACACTTTCCTTCTTTAGTAGATGCTCGTTAGAATTACCTACGTCTACTAGTATCTCATTTTATAGATGAGAAAACCAAGACACCCAGAGGCCATGTAACTTGGAGAGCATCTGGACTGGCATAGCGCAGAAGAAACTCAAGAAGTTAGGACAGCTGAGGATTTGGAGAGTGAGCCCCTCTCCCCAACCCAGAAAGGGACTGGTTGGGGTAATGAAGGGGTCGCGACCCCACTAAAGGCGCAAGCCTCCTGGGTAAGGCAGCAACTCGAGGGAGAATGAGCACTGGGAAGTGAGGGGGGAGGGTCTGTCCTCCCAGCTAACAGCCTCTACTGTGAGTTATAAGGGGTAAAAGAGTGTGGCATTGACATAAGAACTGAGGCAGATCAGTCAAATAGAGCGACATCAGGAAACACTCAGGTACAGGTGGGGCTTGGAATGTAGTGTCATTTAAAATCAGTGGGGGAAAGGACAGGTCATTCTATAAGGATTCAAGACAATTAGCTACTCATTAAAAACACTTAACCTTGATCCTTTACTCACACCATTCACCAAGATTAATTCAGGTGACTTAATATAAAAATATAGGACAATGCATTTATGGGCATTTCTTTTCCAAAAGGTAGACATAGCACGTGAAAACTGCAAAGGAAAAGATGGGTAAATTCGACTATATCAAATATCAAAATGTATGACAAGAGCAGCTTTATTCATAATTGCCAAAACTTGGAGGCAACCAAGGTGTCCTTCCACAGGGAGACAGACCACAGGTGAATGATCTGTGATGTGTCCAGATGATGGAACATTATTCAGCATGAAAAAGCCATGAAGAGACGTGGAGGAACCTTAAATGCATATTGCTAAGTGAGAGAAGTCAGTCCGAGAAGGCTATATACTATGTGATTCCAACGATATGACCTTCTGGAAAAGGGAAACACCTATGGAGCCTGCAGACAGATCAGTGGTCGCCAGAGGTGCAGGGAGGCAGAGAGGGAGGGAGGGAGAAAAAGGTGGAGCATGGGGGATTTTTAAGGTTATGAAACGATTCGACACAGTAATGGTGGCCACCTGTCACTAGACGTTTACCAAAGCCCATAGAATGTGCAACATGAAGAGTGAACCCTGATGTAAACTAAGGATTTGGTTACTAATAATGGATCATCATTCGCTCATCAATTGTAACCAACATACCGCACTATGCAAGGCGTTAATCATACAGGAGGTTGTGGCGGTGGCAATTGGGGACACGTGAAAACTCTCTGTGATTTTCCCTTGCTTTTCTATGTCCCTAAACCTGCTCTACCAAGTAAAGTCTATTAATTAAAAAACAAAAAGATGTTTGGCATATGGGAAAAGACAGAGCAGTGAACTCTCAGGCAGTCAACAGGACAGGAAGGATTAGTATTCAGAATACATAAAGAATTCCTACCAACTCATAAGGGGACATTTTTTTAAAAAAAAAAAATTGACAAAGGATACAGACAGGCACTGTCTAGACAGAGGTAGGAATGGTCAATAAACACGTGAAAAACACCAAGCTCACTGGTATGAGGGAAATATAAAATTTACAACAGTGTTGAGGTGTCATTCTGCTTCATGTGATGGGCACAGTTTTTCATGTTCTGGGATCTCCGGGGTTGGTGGAGATTGAGGTAAGTATTCCCAGACAACTGGCAGAAGCACAGGATAGGGCTTCCACGCAGGAGAGCCCTTCCCTGACATCGACTCAGATTTAAAACGCATATGCTTTATGACCCAGCAATTCTCATTATTCCGTCCGGAGCAATATTTGCTTGTATCCACAAAAAGACTTGTAGAAAGGTGTTCATTGCAGCATTGCCTGTAGACCCAAAACCAGGGGGGAAAAAGCCTAGTGCCATCCATTGACTGGGTAAAGAAAACATGGTACTTCATTATTAAGGAATTGTATGCATCAGTTCCAAAGAATAAGCTGTCTCAGTCAGGTACCTCTTGGCAAGTTCACCCAGAACTGTGTCAAGTAAAGAAAAAAGATATCCATATGGATCACCGTTCGCCTCCTTCCAACAGACTGAGCCAAGGCAGAGAGGACCAGAGAGGGTGCTGTTGGATGGATGGGAGAGTCCAGCACAGTTCTGTGGTGCCTGCCAGGGCACACCGTGAGGATGCGGTGTAGGGTGTGCTGGGGCCTGGCAGAGACAGCCTCGGGGAGGCTGGGCTTTTGGAGGCGGCCTGAGCAGGTGTCATGGTGCCCGGATTTCCTCCCCAGGATTTCCTGACTCAAGAGCTCCCCCCAGCCCTCATCTGCAGTCAGGGAAGAGGGAGAAGTGTCCGTGAAGGGCTGACCTGGGCTCAGAGCTGCAGACAACTGCAGAGTCCCTGGTCCCTTTGGGCCAGGGGTCCAGTGACTGGAGTGAGGCTGGTGCCAGCTAGGCACACCTCTCCTCTGCTCTGTTTTCCATGACCTCACATCGGTGGCTTGACGTTAGTTCATAGAACTATGGTGGCTATAGTTCCACCACCGAACCTGGCAGATGCTACAAAATCAGGGCTTTTCTTTTTCCTCTGGAGAACCAGTTGTGAAACGTTTATCTTCACCCTACGAGAATGTGGGATGGCCTCCTCCCCCCATCCCCCACGCATGGCTCCAGGACACAGAGTCCCACTCCCTCTTTACTTCCATCTTTACTAAATCTCCATCGCTCCACTCCTTATCTCCATCTTTTCTTACGCCCCCTCTTCTTGAAGAGAGAGGGTGGTGGGGCAACCAGGGGAGGGTAGACATGCACAGGGCAGCATGGGAAGAGCCCTGGAGTTGAGGGCATTGGGCCCTGGACACCAGTCACAACGATGCCATTTACTTCCTTTGTGACCTTGAACATACTTTCCCACTCCAGGCTTCTATTTCCTCCTCTGTGAAACGGAATAATCGTATTCAGGGCTACCATATACAGCCTTGTAGACATCGTTCTGCTTCCACTCTGGGGAGGGGCATGCACGTAGATGGTATTGTGAACAGAGCTCTATGGAGATGTGCAGTAGGCAGCCTGAACAGCGGTCCATTGTCCTGATCGTGGTACTTCATGATACTTCAGAGGGTGGTTATGAAAATTAAGAAGTAATAATACAAAGAAGTAATAATACAAAGTGCTTGGCACATGGCAGGTGCACAAGCATGATTGTTTTCCTTTCTTCTTGTTATCTACCCCTTCCCTCCTCATCAGCAGTGTATTACTCTGTCTTAAGGTTTGGTTCCTGAGGGCTCCAGATGCCACAGTCCACACAGAAATGTCTCCTGGTCTATAACAATCCTGGTAGCTATAACGATTACTTGCCACTAGGCACCGAAACAAGGCTGCCTTGCCTCATTTGACTTACTTTTCGCCTTACCTGTCACAGTCCTCATCTTCAGATTCTAGGATTTGAAGCTCAGAGAGTGATGCTTTGCCCAGTGCTGTGTGATGAAAATGTGGTGGGAGACAATTCCCACTCAGATCCCTTGGAATTCAAGGTCCTCAGCCAGTGGGTTCAAAGATTTTTGACCATGAGCCACAGAAGAAACCATATCATCTTTCAGCCACTGCACACACATACACATGGATAGAACTGAAAAGTCTTACAAAACAATATTCACTCCTGCTGCATGTGATGGTATCAGATATTTCTATTCCATTCTGTTGCATTCCATTCCATTCCGTTCTTGTCGTTGTTGTTTCTAACTCTGGCAACCAACTGTGACAATCGATGAAGGTGATTTCATGACCCACTAGTCTAGTGAATCAAGACCTGAAGTTTGAAAAATTCCCTCTAGGCTGCTTCTCCCAAATGACCTCCTAACACAGGTATCAGCAAACTATAGCCCATGGGCTAAATCTGGCTTAATGCCTGTTTTTGTAAATAAAGTTTTATTGGTACACAGCCATACTCATCCATTCATATATTTATCATCTATGGTTCTTTTGTGCTACAACAGTAGAGAAGTAGTTCCAACAGAGACTGCATGGACCACAGAGCCTAAAATATCTACTTACCGGATACTTAACAAAATGTTTGGGTCTCCCGGGTGGTTCCATCGGTTAAGCATCTGACTCTTGGTTTCGGCTCAGGTCATGACCTCACGGCTTTGTGAGTTCAAGCCCCACGTCAGGCTCCGAGATGACAGTGCAGAGCCTGCTTGGGATTCTCTCCCTCTCTCACTGCCTGTCCCCCACTTGCGATGTCTCTGTGTCTCTCAAAATAAATAAATAAACTTAAAAAAAAAAAAAAAAGAAAAAGTTTGCCCATCTGTGCATATCGGACTCTGTGTCTCCCTTATTTAATTTCTCCATGCCTGCCCTTCTCCCTCTTGCTCAAACTCAAGCTCCGTGGCTGGCTTAGAAAAGCACCACCGTCTGGCTTCCCTGCTCTGGTCCTGCCAGCGACTCGTCCCCTCCCAAGCTGTCCCCCAGCACTGACAGGCCCACAGGACACAGGTGGACAGAGCCCCCACCTTGCTTCCTGACCCCTTGTTCTGCTCCTCCCTCAGGCCTCCTGGGAATGGTAGCCCACATGATGTACACACAGGTGTTCCAGGTCACCGTGAGCCTTGGCCCTGAAGACTGGAGACCCCACTCCTGGGACTACGGATGGTCCTTCTGGTAAGTGGCCTTTGGCCTTCAGACACCAGAGCCTCCACGCATGCTGGGAGTTCAGCAGCTCGGCCCGGGTAAGGGAGGAAGGGCAGAAGAAGGCAAGGGTAGCCCAGAGTCCACAGGGACTTGGAGACCCTAAACCTGGGGTTGGCAAACTATGATCCATGGGCCACGTCTGGCCCACCACCTGTTTCTACGCAGCCCTCAACCTAAGGATGGTTTTCACATGTTTAGATGCTTAAAAACCAATCAAAAGAAAAATAACATCTTGTGATGGGTGAAAAACATGTGGAATTTAAATTTCAGCGTCCATAAATAAAATTTTATTGGGACAGACCCACTCTCCTCATTTACGCGTTGCCTTGTGGCCACCTTCACGCTGCAGGGGCAGAGCTGAGTGGCTGTCATGGACGCTGAATGGCCCACAGAGCCTACCAGATTCACTGCCTGGCCCTTTACAGACAAAGTTGGCCGACCCCTGGCACACGGGCTGCTCTGGAAGGTGGAGATGGAAGCTGATGAGTGGCGGGGGGTGGGGGTGGGGGAGCCTGAGAGGCCTGATAGGTTATGTGTGCAAAAGCAAGGCAGAATCAGTAGACTCCCAAGCCAAGTGAACAAGAGGTGTGTGTTGGTTTGGGTGACAGAGAAGTCCAGGTGGGTGAGCCAGGGGGGCTCGGGTCATGATGGAAAAATCCATCCACATCAGTCCCAGCAAAATGGAAATGCATTGGTTCCTCTAAGTCCAAAGTGCAGCTCTGTCTTGGACTTCAGGGCACATTTGAACCAGTGTCTCTGATGCCCTCAAGGTTGACTGTTCCCCCTACGGTCATCTGCACATGTTAACCCTGCCCCTGGGTGCGTTCTCCTCCTGGCCGTGAGGGGGCTCCCTCCTGGCGCTTCTTCCTTCACATACAGGGAAAAGTAGGGTTTCTCTTTCTCCAACAGTGACCGAAGTCCTGAGCCTCCCTCAAATGGTCCCAACTCAGGTCATTTTCTCTCTCATGAGTCATCACCACAGCTGAGGGAAGGTCACGAGCTTATTGGCTCCCTGTGTCCACACTTACCTCTCTAGTGAGGCAAGAGCCGAGACCTCTCCAGCGGTGAATGAGTGGGACAGATGCTGGATGCGTTACCGCAGTGTCTGCTCCAGGCACAGCGGACCCAGGTAGTCAGGTGATTCATCAGGAGCTTAGGCATTCTCCCCGACCCCCATGCCTGTCTCTGCTCCCTTGGGGCTGGCTTCATTCACAAGCAGCTTTTCCCTAAGCAAAGATGGCCACCATGCCTAGCTCTAGGCTTCCGTCTTACAAAGGTAGCAATACCAGCAGAGAGATGGGGCTTCTTTCCAAGATTTCCAGCCAAGATCCTGGTTATGGCTCTCATTGGATTAGCTTAAGTCATGTGTGCATCCCATGACTGATGATTTAGACCCTGAGAAGCCGAGACTGCCCTGATTGGTCTGACCTGAGTCACAAGGTCCAGGGGGAGGGAATGGCCCCACCCAATCAACCCCTTGGACAGAGAGAGGAGGAGCCTCCCCGGTGGAAAATTAGGGGTGAGGCGGGGTTATCAGAAGAAGGAACGCGTGTTGGAAAGACAGCAACCACAGTTGTCCATTCCATGGGGTACGCAGGCTTGCTTCTGGTGGCTGGGGACCATTTATCCACTCAGTCATTTTACGTGCATTTGCCGATTGCTTCTTCGGGGACAGCCACTCTCCTAGGTGCTGGCTGCACAGCTGTGGCAAAGACAGTGTCAGGACAGGTGAATGAGACAAGTAAACAAGCTATAACATGGATTTGGGGGGTTCACAGACTGCTATGGGAGCACAGAGGAGGGGTCGCTGACCCAGCTTCTGGCAGGGAGGGTCCTCTGGGAGGAATGTGATCAGGCACAATGTGGAGGAGGGACTAAGATGGTTCGCTGAGCAGGGGGCACAGGAGGCACAGGGACTTTGGAGGAAGATGGTCAGAATAGAGTAGGAAGGACCCTAAGAAAGACCCCCTTTCGGACCAGTGGGGACTCTTATTAATTTCACTCCTTCCCACTCTCTGGTTCCTGCTTTGTAAAGGCGTGTCCCTTAAAGGGACCTTGACCCTCCTACACCATCCCTGATCCCTTTTAAGTGGAAGGATCGCAGGGAAACCAGCTAAGGCTCTGGTGCTCCCTTTCCCCTACACTTCCCTGCCTCTAGCAGTTCTCGCCTAAGCTCTTGGTCTTGGAAGGTAGTCACCTGAGCCAGAGAAGGGGGCAAAGGAAAGGTATGAACGCTGTTGAGTGTGAGCATGCGTGTACAGTTCGTGCCGTGGATGGAGGCCTGGTACGTCATCATCGCAGCAGTGCTGTGTGATGGCTACTTCGTGGAGAGGAAACTGAGGCACAGGGCACTCAAGTAACCTGGCCAGGGTCTCTGGCCACTGAGTGGCAGAACTGGGATTTGAACCCAGGCAGTCTGGCCTCAGAGCCCACACTCCCCACCTCTGTTTTCTGCCTCTCCGAGAACGGGGAAATACATAGACACTTCATGGATGTGCATAGCACACTGTTTGATACACAGTACGTGCTCTTGAACACCAGCCCTTCTAATACTACCGATTTCAATATGAAATTTAACACCTGAAACCCCCCATGTGCATGTGTGAAACCTGAGGCTTGGAAAGGTCGGGTCACTCACCCAGAGCCCCACAGCCTTAAGGCACAGTAAGATTCTAGAAGCCCCTGGTATTCCACCCCGGCTCTCAGTGTCGAGAACAGAGCCTGCTGGTGTCGGCCATGGGAACCTTCCTTTTGCTGGAAGCTGGCCTCCTGCCCTGCTCCTGTTCCTTTGGGGCTGGCCTCATTCTCATTTGACTTATTTAAGGCCGGGGCCCAACGTGCGGTCCCTATTAAGGCTGATCCATTTCTTCTTGTCACCAAGGCCTGCAAGATGGATCAACCCCATTTTTCATCCCTTGCTTTTGGGGCCTTGCCAGGGCTGCGCAGTGTCATTTCTCTTGTTTAATATGTGTGAGGCCATTTGTCAAAATTCTGGCCCCAGCACCTCCCCCATCCCCAACCCAGGCACCAGAGAGGAGATCAGCGGGGAGGCCAGACAGCATCCCCCTCTGTCTCCCTGCCCAGCAGGGCAGGACTGGCCTCCGGGACTGGGGAGGCCGAGGATCAGAGATGCCCAGCTGGTGTTGGGCCACTGGCTTCTGGGAGGGACACCTGCACAGGAAGGTGAAGCTTCCAGCTGAGAGTCACACAGCCTCTTTCACACCTTGCTGATGGGCACTGCTGGGCTACGGTGGGTGAGCACTGTGGAGGGGTGGGTGGAGGGCGGCCTCTGGGCTCAGAGAGGTTGGGAGTAGATCCCCACTCTGACCCTCACCTGCTGTGGACTCTCACCAGGTCACTCTGCCTCCCTGTGCCTCAGTTTCCTCAGCTGTAAAATGCGGAGATGGCCCAAGTCTCTACTCATGGGCTCTTACAAGCAGTCTGTTGGTTTTTTGTTGATTTATAACACATCACACTGAAATTTAGTGGCTCAAAGTAAAAATGTGTTATTGTCTCTTATGGTTTAGTGGGTTGCCTGGGCTTCAGTGGGATGCTGGCCGGTCCTGGAGTCATCTGGGGCGTGGCTGGGCTGGGGGTGCAAGCCAGCCCCTCCCAGCGCTGGCTGTGGGTGCTGGCTGGGGGCTCAGCCAAGCTGTCAGTGGGACCAGCTCCTCCAGCTCGGTGGCCGGGCTCCTGCGGGGAGTAAGCATTCCAAGAGATCTGAGCAGGAGTGGCAAGTATGTTTTGTGACCTTGCCTCAGAAGTCACACTTTCACTTCTGCTGTGTCTGTTGGTCAAGAGCAAATGATGGGCCAGATTGAAGGAGAAGGGCCCCCTCCCCACACAAAACATAAACCCCAGGAGGTGAGGCTGCCGATGGGGGGCATTCTTAGGAAGGGGCTACAGTGAGGACTATGTGAAATAGTGCTCAGAGGTGCTTGGCACAGAGGATGTGCTCCACGCGTGTCTCTATGAAAGGCAGGCAACCCAGCCTCTCAGTGAATCTCTAGAGTAGCGAAGGCATGCTGCATAGGGTTGCTGTAGGGACTATGCAGGGCCAGGCTCTTAAAGTGTTTGGCACATAGTAAGCACTCATAAGTGGTGGTGATTATAAATGGCGATAATGACATTGAGCCTTTGGAAATGCAGCTCTCACTGGCTGGGAGGCATGTACCCCAAAGGTCTATGCGGATGACACCCTGTGGTATGCAAGCTGCCCCTTGCCGTCCGTTCTCTGGCCTCCACTCGCCCTGGATGCGCCGCCCTCATTCACTCCCAAGACGTTAGCGTTCTGTTAGCATCCAGCCCTGGACGTGACTTCCTGACACTGCCCAGCTTCCTGCTCTGGCCCTGACAAAGCTCTGGAACCCCATCCTTACCCTGAGCCCAGAGACCCATGAGCCCTCCCAGCCTGTTTGGGTGTTTTCCAGCTCTGTGTCTCAGCTCCCCGAGCTGTCTGGTCACGCAATTAGCCCAGGGGCTGAACCCAGCCCATAGACGTTTTGTGTGGCCCACCACGATGTTCCAGAACTGTTGTATTCGCTCTTAACATCCAAAAAGGTAAACACCTTACATAAAATGCCAAGTTTTGGGCTTCTCTTGACAGTTAGAGGCCATGTCCTTGCCTAAGTGGCATTGCCACATGGCCGCAGGGGGCTGAAGGTGAGCGGTGGCTGTCCCTGTAGATGGGGCACATGCTCTCCGGTTCACCCCTGTCCCCACCACTCCCTCTTGCCTTATGTTTTCCTCACCTCACTGTCCAGCTGACTGTAGGAATGTGAGTTTGTGGCCCCTGCATGGGATGCCAGCATGTCTGTTTTCCTGGAGACGGTGGAAAAGTGGGAGGCTTGTCAGTCTGTCAGTCTGTGCTTCTGTTTTCAATTTGGTCAAAGTGGAGAAAGATAGGAAAGAGGCCCCTCCTACCACAACACACACCGTGAAACCCCAGTCCTGAGCATTCAGTCTGCAGA